CTGAATCCATCGCCCATCTGAGGACCCAAACGGCCAGTGCCGATGGACCTCCAGCCACCAACGCCCGCGACCTCGACAAGACCCGGGGATCCCCAACTCCGCTGGCTCCTAGACGAAAGCAAAAGCCTCGCCTGACCGCGAACGGAGCCCGGAGAAACTTATTCCGACGCGACACCACCGCAACGGCCTCGGCATCGTCTCCCTCAACCCTAACCCTACCACACACCCACCTAGCGAACAGACCCGAGGTTCCCCCTCCCTCTCGCCGCCGAAGCGGCTGACGGAGAGAGAGGGAACCGGAGGCGTCACCGGCGGCGCGCAAGGGCCTCGTCGCCTCCTGATCGCCTCGTGCGATCCGATCCAACTTTTACGGGAGTGGTTGCTGGGAAAGGAAAATGATGTAGCCTGATTTCCTCACTTTTCCCTTTTCTGACTATATAATCTCTGCATTATCGGAGCATGATTCACGCAGGGTTATACCTGGAAGCGTCGCATAATTATCGTCTGCATTTCGAGCTACCGTTATGATCCTTGCATTGTATTCTTCAACATTTGTCCCGTTAGTAAGGCCTGCAACACATTACGTATAGAGCTTGTCACTGGTAGAAATGCAAGGATCGCATGTGTAGCAATTTATGAAAGCGTGCATCATACCTGTAGTTAAGTCATCTTCTGGTTTACATTCACTTGCCTGGCTTTTTGAATTCCCCATACTATCCTATGGAATGAAAGCTCCCTGAAACAGCGGGGGTGGGGTGCTCAAGCTAACTACTTCTTGATTATGTGGAAAATATCATTGACATACAAAAAAGTCAATTGTCTAAAATAAATGGCAATATTTAATTGCAGAAGTAAAGGCTGATAATACTCAAACATGAGGATAATTTTAGAAGTACTCAGTTGGTTTTACTAAGTATATCAATGGTAGTCTCCTAAAGGAAGACATTTTACTGTTACCATATTGCTCTTAGTTTCCTAAAGGCACAGTACTGTTATATGTTGAATTTGACAATGTATAAATTTTGATTTGTAGGTAGAGCAGATCTCTCAGAGCTGCTTACAGATATGGATGACTGAATTGCAGAAGCAAGAGATCTTGCTCTAAGCAGAAAGGACATTCTAGAAAAGGTGGGAAAATGGACATCAGCAACTAAAGAGGAGGGTTGGCTCGGTGAATATGAGGGGGAAAATGATTTTTTCTTATCTTTAAATGCTTTATAGTCAAAGTATTATATTGTTGCATCTGCCATAGACCATTTATATGGTTTCAATTTCAGGATCAAAATCGCTATAATGCTGGTCGAGGAGCTCACATAAATCTCAAGCGTGCGGAGAAGGCAAGGGTATTGGTCAGCAAAATTCCATGTATGCCTCCATACTTTTGTGTGCGTTTCTACTGGAAATTTCTATTGTTTGGTTGAGCCTTCACGTGATTATCATTTTGGATTGCTTGGACAATAGCTGTGAGTATGTTGAATTTTACCCGCTGCTTAATTTGTTCTAGATGAGTACTATCATTGGACATAACTGAATCTTTATTTAAAATATTCAACAATGTGAAATCTTCTGGAAACATGCTTACGGGTCATTTGATGCACCTGTTAGTCAGATACACCTGACACTCATTCCCACCTGTTTTCTGAACTTCAATATTGTTTTACCATGTAGCCCTGCTGGAGATTTTGACTACTAAAGTTAAAGCGTGGGAAAAGGAGAAGGGCATGTCATTTATGTATGATAAGGCAACTTCAGTTACCAAATGCTCTTTCCAAACGAATATGTTTCAATTTGCCAATCTCATCTTAATTATGTCTACACTCAACTATGGCTTACAATGTTTTCTTTCATGATCCTAGACTATCCTGCCTAGCACGTTCATGTATAGAGTAACCTACAGGCAAGTCGATGGTTCATCCCTATTCTCCTATTTGCTATTCAGCACCACTTCACTTTGGACAGCTTATTCATTATCAACAGGATCATTTCATAACAGCTGGTTACTACCAACTGTGCTCAGAAAGATGCAAGGAGTAATTTCAAATGTGGGCTATTGAGGCTAGACTCTATAAAAAGTAACGACCATTTGTGTTAAATTTTTGTACTGTATAAGCTGGATCATGTGTTGTTTACCTATATTCCGCAATCAACGACTGCCGATCCTGGTGTAGTTTCGGCACCGGATCGTGTACGCGATCAGTGGCGGCGCCTTGGTGTAGTTTCGGCGCCGGATCCTGTACGCGATCAGCGGCGGCGCCTGGAAGCGATAGGCGCCGGATCCGGACGTGGGTCCTGAATCCTCAACAAGAACAGCGCCGCATCCGGGATCGCCGTCGGACTCCAGATGGGGATCGTCTTTGAACTGGGAGAGCGGCGGTGAAGGGATGTATCGGCGGCGAAGGGGACGTCAGCGGCGTCGACGTACGGACGGAGAACGGCGGCGAGCATCTCGTGCGTGCGACTGATTCTAGGTCAGGAGGAATCGCTCGTACGTGCGACCAATTCCACCCGGTTTTTTTCGTAGGTTTATTTTCGTAGATTTTTTTCTAAGCATTTTGTTCTCGATCGACCATGTGGGAGGTGGGAATCGATCGCTGTAGGAACCTCGCATGGGTATCGTTTTTTTGGTTCAGCGCTGGAACCAGGGTGGATTGCTGGTACGTGGGAGGTGGGAATGAGGACGAAAAAAACCCGGCTATGGTGGGACGAAATTTAACCGTGGAAGCGAGACTACCAACTGCTTCATTAGGAGTAGACATGAAACAAGCCCACCCCTAATAAGTGTATACCTCAATCAGTGCTAGAAGTTATGAAGAAGGTTGGAAAATAGGATGTTGTTTTTGATGGCCATAGGAATTATAGAGATATCAGTAGAAAATGTATGTGTGAATAAACCAACCTTGGGGTCTTTAATCAAATAGGAAATACGGGGCAAAGACCAATCGCCCCTTACCATGTTATCTTTTACTACTTTGATTAAATCATGTCACTGTTTAGGTAAATTAATCATAACACAATGATTCAACTTCGAGGTGGTGTTAGTTAATAATCAGGTGTGTTCACTTAGGTAAGTAGGGTTAAATCTTGCCTTGTGCACTTTCTTCCAAAACTCTTGAATGGAAGTGAGGATTGGATTTTGCGCTTCATGCCAACCCACCCAATGGACCATTTACTGTCAATATTGAGCAAGTAGCCTCAAACAACGACCGTAAAATATTTGTTCTCTTTCTATGCTACGTGATACTGGTTTTTATGTGAAAGTGCTAGAATCTCATTATTCTATAATTGTCATGATATATAGACGTACATGGAGCATCGATATTTTGTCCAGAAACCCCATTAAACATTGATTTTATGGAATCCGCCACCTAAACCTTTGAATGCACCCAGGAATTCGAACAAGTATTTAGTTTTAGATCATCTAAATTTCACTGTCACTTGTTCTTCCCTTAAGACGAACGGGCGCAACAAACGTGCGCCTTTATGTTCTAGTTACTCTAGTAAAAAAAAGAGACTCGGCTGGGTGGCTCTTGGGCCTTGAAACCCGGATGGAGGGAGCTGTATTCTGTCTGTATTCTAAACATAAACATATGGCCGGAGTTTGTTTTGCACACATAGCAGAGAGCTCCTGCAGCGCCCGTTCGTGCTCCTGGCACCTGCAGCGCCCCGCCCTGGGCCGGCCCATGAAACGGGAATCCTGGCGAATGCGAAAGCTCGAAAAAAAAACGCGATTTTTTTGTCTATATGCAGGTTTCGAACTCACAACGTCGAGTTCGCATACAGGTACCACCAACCATATGAGCTACTTCCTGTCTATGATTAGCAACAAAGGCAGATGCGTAATAACAATGCTGGAGGGCACCGCTTAATTTTTTTGAATAAAGAATACATCAATTTGAAAAGGCATCCATATAATTCATGAACTGAAAGGATAAGTTCACAAAAATTGAAAAAGTTCATCAGATTTGAAAAAAGTTCATTAAATTTGAAAATAATTCATGAATTTGCAAAAAGTTCATCGAATTTGAAGAAAGTTCATAGAATTTGAAAAAAGTTCATAGAATTTTTTTAAAAAAGTTCATTGAATTTCATAAAAAGTTCATCGAATTTGAAAAAGTTCAACAAAATTCAAAAAAATTCATCAAACTTGAAAAAGTTCATCAAAATTCAAAAAAGTTCATCGAATTTGAAGAAAAGTTCAACAATTTATAAAAAAGTTCATTGATTTTCAAAAAAGTTAACAAATTTAAAGGAAAACTTCAGAAATTTTAAAAAGCGCGCAATAAATAAAATTAAAAAAATAAGAAAAAGGGAAAAAGAATAAACCGAGCTGAAGAACGAAATAAAAAGAGAAAAATTATCTACCTGTACACTCTTGATTGAATAAACCGAGCTGAAGAACGAAATAAAAAGAGAAAAATTATAAACCGAGTTGCGAGTTCGATTCTCCACCCTGCGCTCTTTTTTTACCTTCGAAGAACAAGAAAATCAAGAAGGAAAAAATAGAATGGGCCGGCCCAGTTTGGACTGCTGTAGGCGCCCGTTTGCAAATTGCACTGTAACGGGCGCCTGAACCGCCAAATAGGAAATGCCCACATAGCAAGGGTTGGAGGAAAAAAACAATTAAGATAATCTAGCCAACAAGCTTGTCGTCTATCTATAATTCTATATTAGGTAGGGAGAACAAGTCGATGGATTCATGGCCACAACTATTATTTTGATTGTTATGTGGCCACAACTAAATTAGATAGCTCCTTCTCAACTGCATGCGCTGAAATTGGCCGAGCTACTAAAAATAGGCGTCCAAAAGCAAGGAAGCATGCATGCGGTGCTATCTATCTATCTATCTATTTGGTCTATGTGTATGCCTATATAAGAAGGGGAACACCAGCTAGCTAATCTGCTCTCTCGCTGCAAGTGCGCACACACCCACCCACCTGACCAAATATATCCATCATATAACAATAGAGAGGGAGAGAAAGATCATCCATTCATCGACTACCATGGCCATTTCTCTGCTGCCTTACACCGCCTCGGCTCTGCTTGCCATCGTCATCGCCGTCGCCATCGCTGTCGCCCCTGCAGTTGTTCGATCGGACCAAGAGCCTGGGCCCAGCATTGAAGCCATCAACGCCACATGCGCGACTGCTACGTACAAATTTGAGTGCACCCATCTGCTACTAAACAACCTGGATGTCAGGACGCCTCAAGTGAAGGACGTGATCGCAATGTCAGTCCAAGTCGTCGCCAAGAAGGCGGCGGAGGCGGCCGCATTCGCCAAGGCCATCAAGAAACCCTCCAAGTGCGTCACCGACTGCCTCGACGACCTCGCCATACTATCCAAGCACATCAAGACGCTCCCGGCGACGCTCGAAACCGCCAACGACGCGGGCTTCTTTGAGCAATTTGACACAAAGAAAAAATGTCACGGAGATTGTTGCTCGGACAACTTCTCGGGCGAGGAATGCAATGCAAAGAGCCAAATCGGTGGGGTGTTTGGCGCTCTTCGTGTCACTGATGACCTGTTGATGAGGAGGGCGTATTTTAGGAAGCAGCAGCTTGACAACAAAACAACATCACCTAACTCTAACTGAAGAGGACAGCCGGTGTGATTTGCTCTTACATTGATATCGCATGCGTATGAATAATGGTCCAATGGAATTGGGAGCGGAGTAAGAAGCTCATGTTGCCTTTATGCATGTAATAATCATGCCTGCCTGCATGGCCCGCTATCTGTTGGTCCAATGCCTGGCTGCCTGCCTGAACTGGCGTCAATTTCCAGTTTGTTTTTGTAATATATAATAACTCTTTTGTATTGTGCATTAC